TCGTGGTTCACGTCCCATTCACCCAACCTCACTCTAAGCTCGAAACCTTTGTATCTAAAAAATAATTAATTTGTTGTTAGAAGTTGATAAAATGAGATAACTTTTTTAGAAACCAGGCAATCCTTTGACAATTTTAAGGTAAATTAATTATAACTGAAGTATCTCTAAACCATAATTCATGGGATACTTACGATTTAACGCAATGAGCAGCGGTCACAATGTGAAGTCCGTCAATGAGGGTACCACCACAAACGTATACTGATTCTTTCGGGTCCTTTTTTAGTATAGCCGCCTGCCACGGGTATTCTCCGAATTCACTGTCGCCATCGATGTATGAGGGAGTCTTGATTCTTCCATTGATGCCTTGGGAGTGTCGGATGCCGCACTGGCCACGGTTTGACGCCTGCGGGCGCAGTGGTCGGCGACAGCACACTTGATTCTGTTGGCATCGTTGAGGATTGGGACGTCCGAAGTATCCCTGACGCTATAAAGAAAATCAAATTTGACTTTTGCTGTCGCACAGTTAACAATAGAAGTATAATACTATACTGGCCTACGATTTTCTGGGCGACTGTTAAATGATATTACCTCATCAATAGATTTTTCTAAAGAAACTTCTCTCTTCCTTCTGTTCTCAGGGAATCGTATACTGTGGCCGCCCCGGTTTGCCCCAGGACGGTGAGAAGGGACAGTTAGGGAACGGGAATAAGCATATCTGTTAGCGTAGCTATTTTGATTATCAGCTGTTACATTAGCGGACCTCTCAAAGTTCGGGTTATAGAAACCATTGTTTTGGTAATTATAATCAACGTGGTCATCGTTATGATTCGCATTATCATCGTCATAATAGTCTTCGTTACCTACTTGAGGTTCTGGGGAATTATATGGACTTGTTTTGTAATAACCGCCGTAATGAGGCGAGTGCGGGGAATATATTGGTGGAGGATAATTATGATGCGGGGCGAATTCGTGATGTGGATGCAGGTAAGGTTTGTGATGGTAAACATCGTAAGGATTGTGATGATGATAATGTTCGTGCTTGTTCAAAAGATAAAGTTTCTTTTCATGGAATAAATCACCAATTTTATTGACAACGTGCTCGTTGGGCGTCACGTGTAAATTAACAAACGGTTTAACTATTTTTTCCCCGTAGTCGTTTTTGGTCACTTGGACGGCTAGTAAAGGGTTAACTGATAGCAATCCTAAATTAATACCACCACCGTTTAAAGCCGGACCGTAAGGATTGTATATGGGATTAGCGTTGAAAGGATTTATGGGATATCCACCGTGGGAAGGCTGGGGCAACCCAAAAGAGACACCAAACGTGGGCTGCACTTGTTTGTTGTTATTACCGCCACTGCCGCCGTAGCCGGCCAATCCGAACACGCGCTGCAGTAATACCGTATTTTGTAAATAAAATGATTTCAAAAATATTGTTAGCTATTTGTAAGTGCCCATTGTTTAGTTTTTCTTTTGTAAGATATTGCAGATGGATAAGGCATACAAAAACTGCAGCACATTTATATCCAGTTGCAATACATGAGTAAGTTGTTACCCCGGATTGTTTTGGTGATAATGATCTTGAAGGTGTCGTAACATGGATTTTAGAGGATGTAAATTTTCTAAAGAGATTAGGATGGATTGCGAAATTACGTTTATGTTAGTCTACGTTTCTAAATACTCGACATATTAACACTTACTGGTTCAGCTTCCTTGTCAGCGTCATCCTGTTTATCTGTTGCCGCTTCTCGTTTGCTTAAGCTTTTGACAGTTTGATTTTGTGTGTCGATTTCTAAATCAGAAGACACAGTTGCGTTTAGATTGTCCAGTTGTTCTTCAGTAAGTGCTGCGATTTCGCTGCCTTTATTACGAGGATCGATGGGTAAGTATAAGTCGTCCCTGCGGCCAATAATTTCTTGACTGGGGCATTGGTCAAAGTTCACACAAACGCAGTCGAATCCTTGAGCTTTTGGCTCATGGTAACTTTGTTGATAATTTTGTTGATTGATTTGACCAAATGTTGCTGGACCTTGATTGTATAAACTGTTAGCGGATCCCACGTTAAGTTCTTTCTTGTAAAATTCTGTATTTTGAGATGCGTAACTTCCCAAGGAGTTGCTATACTTTTGATCATCGAAGACATTGTTTTGATATTGATTAGGTAAAGATTGCGATGCTATATTGGCGCTTCCCTTATTGACATTGGTATGACCAAACTGAGAGCCATAAACGGTGTCTGGTTCGTACACTGGTTTAGTGTACAATGGATAGTTTCCTGTCATAGGCTTGAAGCCTCCTGATGTGATTGAACTGTAGTCACCACCGGATGCTGTTATAACGTCAGATGACTCATGTGCAAAATTTTGCGATCCTAAATGTCCAACAGATCCGACTGGTATTGCTACTGGTTTAATGATAACTTTAGGATCTTTCTCAGCATCGCTGTGAACGTAATGATGGTGAACGTGTTGTTGCACGATATCTGTTTTGACTCCAGTCTGGACGTTAGCAGGTAGTTTATTGTAAGTAGGCTTAGAATTCTCGAAAGCATAAGGTCCTTCATTAGCGTATATTGGTGGCTTTGTTACGTAATTACTCTCATGCGCGTTATATACACCGCTGCTTTGAGAAAATTGGTAATTGTTGCCGGAAACGCCATATTTATCCGAAAACCCTGGACGTATGTTGCCTCCGTATCCGATTCTTTTGGGCGGCAGCTTTTGTGGACGAGAAGGGTATGGCATCGGTTTTGGCGGACCATATGCTCTTGGAGGTCCACGGATTGGAATAGAAGCAACCGGTTTACCGATAGGCTTAATGTCCACGGGCTGAGCGTAAATGAGATCGTCAGGAGACACATAGGTACGTTTTTCTTGAGTTTCGCCTTCTTCGCACTAAAAAATAAAACAGGTATGAATGTTAGAAACCATTGACATTATTATGTTAACATCATTTATATTTATAATAACGTTATAATGGAAATATCTAGTTCCTAATAAACTAACCTGGATGAGTCCTAAAGTACAAAGGCGATCTTTGATCAGATTTCTCGCTTCAGTATCATCTCCCGCATCAAGTGCTTCTTTTATTGTAGGATCGCCGTACACTTCATCGAAACCTCCCAAACTTCTGCCTTGTTTGCCATTAATTAGTTCATCAACAATTCCGTCGAGTACAGTCTCATTAGTTTCTAGACTTTTCTCCTGAGCTACAGTGAAATGCTCTCCTTCTAATAATTCAGTCGATTTATCTTTTTGCTGTTCAACTTCGGTCTTTTTCTCGTTTCCCCAGGACCATTCTGCTGCTACACCCGCTATTGTTATTGATAGCAGTAAACAACTTGATAAAGACCACCGCATGTTCTGTGAAAGAAGAGTGGGGTTGAATTATTAGTGTTATTTAATCTCGTTTAACGTTGCATTTAAAACGATGATGTTTCGAAACTGAGAGCGCTTTTACTTTCGCAGACGGTCGGTATTATGTAAACTCGAATAATGCCAGCGAACGAGCCGAGACTAGCCTGCGCCATCGCTAGCGTGGGCCTGCGAAAGCACTCTCACATGTCGAGTAAATGACGTATTACGCAAAAATCGTTATATATTTTTTTACTATTACAGGTTAATATTTTTAATTAAGTAACAGTTATTTAACGTAGTATATGGAATGTTGTAGAGAATACAAAGCCTTAATAACGTTTCTTTTCCAAAGATGCTAACGGAAGCAATGTAAAAAACACTTAAACATTTATGACTTCAGGTAATAGGTTTGTTTATTGTTTTTGTTATGAAAGAAAGTGAATTGGTGTCATTGTCGATCCGAAACCGGCACAAGAAGCTATTTGGTAAGCACAACGCGTCTGCTATGCGTCATCTTTTCACGTAACAAATCCGTAACCGCATTATGCAATTTATGATTTGTAGCTCATTTTTTAACATAGCTCTTTTTTGTTGAGTGACTTTTACTTATTGTAGTTTTATAATTCTCTCTAGAAATCCCTTAAAGCATTGTTTAAATGGAAAGTTTAAATGCAGTTGGCATCGTAATAGTCCTGATACGCGTCGTTTGTTAGAGAGCTTGCTACATGCTTCGTTAGACAGTGAAAGTGTTGTGAACAAGCCTATCGTACATTATAACATAGGAAAATGACATGATAGTCATCTCCAGTACTTATGTAATGAAGTGAAATAACATAAAAACCAATAAAACTTGTATAAACAAAAATATGTGATATCGTATAAATATTTGGAAAATTTTAGTCTGATTTGACTTTTTGGTATGGGAATTTATTTAAATATTTAAATTAATTAACAAATTCGATTTGCTAATTTCTAATGGTAAAGCAATACGTAATATTTACATTTCTCGTTCTTAAATAAATTTCACTTTATCTATTTTAAATAACGGAAATATACTTTAAGCTTATTAACGTATTTATTTTTTTCTATTTATTTCTTATTTCTATTTATTTCTTTATAAGACGTCGTAGAAATCATATTAATTTCTATTATTGTTATTTTTCTCACTGATTATTATTATCACAAGCACTACAACTTACATTTTCTTACACTTCTTCCTTTTGATCACTAATAAATAACAACTTGTTTTAAGTCGTTTTCACCACTTCACCGACGCTCTGTTTGCGTCCGAATGACTGCCACCACTCCGGCGGCAACGATTTATACTTCAACCAACGCAAAGATGCACGCTGCCCGATTTTGTAAGATGATCGACTCATACTTCTACCATTAAACTCTAACGGAGACAATATCGCCAAACTGTATCGTAGTTTACTACGCAAAGGTGCCCGAGTGGGTTTTTTGTGAGTCTGTTGGTACAGGGTCTGACGTCAATATCATTGATCAACCCTCCGGATCATTCACGTCTGGGTTCTGAATAAGCGTTATGCAATGGGGATGTCATCGGGGTCACGTTAGCGGATTTGGTTTTTGAGGCGTCTCGTATGTCCTTGTCATTTATTTGTTGGGGAAAAAGAATTTAGTTTTGAAATACAATGGAATTGAATTTACGATACCCAGGTGTAGCTAGAGGTCGCATCCTTTTATGGTACAATAGATGCTTTATGCGAAATTGGATTTCTTGGCAAAGTTTTACTTATTGTTAATAACATTAGATCTCAATATATAGGTCATATTGCGGTATATGCATTAACATTTTCAGTCTAATATTAATGTTACACCATTTATTTAGCAATATTCTTTATAATAAAGTAAAGAACCTTATGGAATTACATACATACGTCCCCATAGTTGGCTTTGTTCCACTTTCTCTATACATTAAAGGAAGCTTGGTCTACTAACAAGCTTATAAGAGAATATTGGCTAATATATATAGAAGAAAAACAAAGTTTAGGTAGTTTATTGGTTTTGGAATACGCATGGGCTAGCACTTGTCATATAAAAGATTTCAACGCGTCCAATATTATGCCAATGTTTGTTATACATGTGAGTGTAAGAAATCATGTATCTGGCCTCAGAATAATACATTTACTAGATTTTTTTTATTATACGTAACTGATGGGTTTTATGGTAATTTTATTTTATACTCTACAAGCGATTTTTTTTTTCTTGAAAATTAAGATTTATAACATACTGGCGACTCGTCCTGATTTTGTCCGGGTGGTATAACATACAGGTATATGTATGTACGACAGATTTCTTTTCTGTTATATTAGTAGTACCCATCTATTAGCAAATACTTTGTAAAACAAGGACAAGACTTAAGGAACTTAATATCTGATGCTTTCTACACATATAGTTTTATTTAAAAAAACATTAATTGTCCCACTTCTACACCCCTTTAATTATGTTTAAGGGTTAATGAAGTATCAGTATATAAAATCTTTACTAAGCGACTGCTTAAGTAACCATTAAATCATGTACCAAATAATATATTTTGGTATCGTGCAAAACGTGTTAATTTGATATTGTAATTGTACACCAGGATGAATTTGGGCATTGCGTAGAGGGCTTGCATAAGAGGGGCTTTCCAGCGCAAACGCGAACCGGACTTGCGCGAGCGCAGCGGCGGCGTGCGGCTTGCGGCTTGCGCAATGGTTCGCTGAACCAGATCTATGTCTTCAATACTTAACTGATGCATGTTATTGTTTTGAAATGTAACAATACTGCATTACTTAATACAGGACATGCGGCATGCGTCATAAAAAGAAATCGTTTAGTTATATATGTTTGACCTTTAAACGAGCCCTATTACTAGGTAATTCAAAATGAAATGTAGTAATACGTAAATAATACGTTTGAATTTATGGTCTAGAAAAGGGATTATAAATAGATTGATTGCTATTATGCAACAACAAGCATCCACTTATATACAGAATAGAGGTATGCTTCATATTATATTAGTACTATTATGAAAAGAAAATTTGTGTTCGTCTTGCAGTTGCTTGTAAACAAGGCTGTTACGGTTCGAGTTAAAATTATTAGCATTCTTACATCATCGCAGCGATGACTTCCGTTGCAGAAGTGCAATGAACTTATAGCGAGCTATGCATCGAAGCAACCTGAGGCAATCAACATCAAAGGCATCTTTTATTTACATTTTTTATACGCATTCGTTGAGGTTTGGATAGCTCTGTGAATTGTATTATGCAACATAGAACAAGTTACATTATACTTCCAGTTATCTGGCCTCTATTAACTACGTTAGTATGTTATTGTAATCATTAAGATGTTAAATTACATAAAAAAGTTTTAGTTGAGAATTGGTTATGTTAACCTCAAAATGTGTCCGGGTTTCCTTTTCATTCTATAATATAATTCATCCTGAAGTGTCGTAAGCGACGCATTAAAGAAGCTTAACCCCGGTAACTTCAGTCGTTAATTCATATTTGACAATGGCTCAGATTTCGTAAGGACTTATGTTTTTAGTCTTTGAGCTCGTTTAAGAAGCTCTTAGCTTCTTAAGTTTAAAGTATTGAGCTATAGATAAAACGTCTTAATTTGTCATATTAGCATGTTTAATAATTTTCTTCAGCGTTTTCATGCATAAACATGAAACGCTATGACTGGAAAAAACTGTGTTGCAAGTTGTGAACACGGATTTTCCGAATTGCTTCTACTGCAATTGGCAGCGAAGGTCAAGCAAGTCTTATATTAGAATAAGAAATCTGTGGAGCCGACTGCTTATTTGTATTTATTTTTTTAACACTCATTAATCTAAGAAGAACGGTCGAGAAATAAGAAAATATTATAAATTGTAAATTAAGACATTTATATGTTAAAAACCGTTTGAATGTGTCTTTTTTAACATTTCAGATGTCGCTACGTTGAAATGGCTTTTATTCAATAGGAAGTTTTAAAACGTTTAATTAAGACTAAACTGTTGTTTCAATAGTATTTGAAACTAAGCTCAAAAACTAAAAACTTAGTTTTAACTTAATAATATTTTTAGTACGAAAGCGACTCTACTCATCTTCTGTGTTAATCAAATCAATGACCTAGTTTCGGCCGATTGTACGATACGACCGCGTAATGTTGGGATTCCCTACGTTCCTGCCAAGGACTCCTGGCGCAACTGCATTCGGGACACTCTTCGGGTTTTTACGTTTATTGAACGCCTTTATTAAGGCTATTTTTTCTACTACTTTAACATATACATAATTAATAACGATGACATTTCATCTAATTATGGGTGTTTTAACCTTAAGCTTAGTAACAACGATGTTTACAGTATTAATAGTTACCTCAAATCATACGACTGTTATGAAAATTGTTGTTGTATTATACTGTGAGAAAATTTACCGATGCTTTCTCTCAGATACGCTTGTAAAATGACTGCTCGTAAATTTCTAATTAAACAATACTTCGTTAGCATTTCTGAGATTAAAGCAAAAATCAACATGAAATGAAGAGTTTCCATGTAAGTAAATTGAGACAATATGATGTCTTTTAGAATTAGTTCGTATAATTCTAAAAAAATAAAAAGAGGATATTTCATTCTCATCTCTTACAAGATCTTGAAAAAAAGGGCCTGTCCCACTGGTTGGTCCCATTAGAGACTCAGATAGCTTAAAAATGACGTCAATGTCAGATAAGGGAACGAAATCCGATATTTACATCACATATTTTACACGTTGGACTGTTATCAGACAATTTACAATTTGGTGGGTCAGGCAGGTCCTAAATACCATTTTAAACAAAGTAGGTTCAACGCTGCAACATCACGTTAGAGCTTTCCGAAATAAAAACAGTAATTGCTGTCTTTGCTTCCAAGCTCTATTTCAATCAATGCCATCTGTTAGTCACTCTTATTAATACATTGTTCGGTGAGAATTTGCTCGCAACAAATTGTGATGTAGTAAGTAGAGACTATCAACAGATGGCGTGACCTTGCTGATAATTAGAGTTTGGCGTTTGCGACAGATGGCAGTGTTATCAAAAAATCTTCAGTTCTTATTAAAAAAAGCTCGTCAAGGTGTACTCTACGTTACGTTTTTTAACGATAGTAGCTTTGTCATAAATGATTTTACATTGTGTGTCTGTTAAAAGTGGCTAAGTTAATATTAAGTTCATTTCTAATGTGTCATTTTTTTTTAATTTATCCATAAAATATACATAATATCGCAAATGTATGAAATCTATGACACTACAAGAGGCTCTACTTTAACCCACTGGTTACGTCGTATTATCGTCAATAGAACAATTTTGATCAATAGAACAATTGTAAAAGGAGCAGGTTATGGTAGAAATAATTTCGAAATGCGTCATTGCCAGGGAGTCTGTTACTTTAATAATTTTAATTGGCATGAAAACGGTTCACACAGTTTATTTACTTAATATAAGTTACAAAATAATCTTATTAACTAAAATAATAATACACTTAAGTTACCTGAATTGACCAACAAATTAAAGTATTTTGAAACGAAACCCGAAGAAGGCGTCGATTGTGTAAGCGCGTCGGTACTTTGTTAGTTAATCTAAATTAGGCAGAGTTGGCATTGTTTGCAAACTGTTGTCATTACTGAAATTACTAGTATGTTAGTCAAGTATGGTGTGAAAGATTTCACGAGGTATGGAGACCATTTCATCTTACAATAGTAGCGTTGGTTAAACAATAATTAATATCATGCTGGCCGCCAAGAAATCATTAAAAATGCATTTAAAAATAAAAAGTACGAAATTTGAATGGACAGAGAAAAATCTGAAGCAAGCTATGTAACAAAACTTTATGTTTAACAAATGCAATTTTATCAATTTTTGTATTTCAATAGTGTGTTTTTATCAATAAATAAAGAAGAATTAATCAATGTTAACTACTTTACATATTTAGGAATACATCTAAATAATAGTTTTAAATAAAAATATTTGAACATTTATTACCACCTTACTACAGAATTAAACATAGCGAATAGATGAACAAGCGTTGAAAGAGTCAGATCACCTTTACTCCAGGAAAAAATGTACCATTGGCGCGTGATGCTTTTGTTTTTCACATAACTACTTAATTGTTTTTTTAAACGAGACATTAATTGCACGAGAACGAAGTCGCGGGCAATTGCAAATTCGAAATAATTTTACCACCATGTATGTTTGTACAATACAAACGGCTTTTCGAAAGGCGGACACTATGTAGATCATATGATTAACGTCAGGGCTTTTGTGGGCTGTTAGTAGGTAGATATCGACCTTGTATTTGCACAGATAATTATGTATCTTTGAACTCTTTGGATAAATTTTATGTATATATTTTCCTGCACACATGTAAGATAGCAGTTGACATTTTAATTTGACGGGTGCAGGTTTGAAACAATAAAGGGAAAATCCGCTTGTGATATCCGGTATTGGTGCTAAAGATTTTTTATAGAATAAAAAGTCGTTCGCTAAAATAAATGAAGTGCTACATATATATTTTTGACTATACTTTGTGAACGTATTCAAAATTATTTAGATACTTGTTATTTTAAGAAAAATAAATGTGTGTATAATCATATATAAAACTTTAGAAAAGAAGAATAAAAGTCTATGATGGCTAAAGTAATGAAATTTTCTTGAATCACAAGTTTCCCAAAAAGCGTTATGCTTATCATACTCTTTTTTGTCCTAACCTCATTATCCTTTTTGATAGAGGATGAATAGAGAACACTTAAACTGGTTAAATCGATACTAACATTATAAAGAGAAAAGATTTCTATTTTTTTGTATTGAAATAACTCAAAAAAATACATGACCGATTTGAAATATTCTTTCACCATAAGAAAGGCTACATTATCACCGAGTAACATTTTACTAATATTATAAATGTAAAAGTTTAGATGGACGGATGTTTGTTAGAGATTGTAGCCTAAACGGCTGTACGTATTTCGATGAGATTTGGTATAGATGTAGAGGATAGTCTGGAAGAACACATAGGCTACTTAGTTTTGTTTTTTATAAATCACGCAAACGGAGTCGCGGGCGAAAACTAGTAGGCTATATTTTTCGCGTGGACGAAGTCGCGAGCAACTGCTAGTACATTATAAAATAAAACATTCGTCGAGGATAACCAAGTCAATTAGCTGCGTAAAATGTACGTACTCGTATACGATAGGATTTCAATCCGTGGATGATCAATCAGCCTTGGTAACACTGTAACTAAACGGGTATTTAAAGTCTCTTTGTAGCTTCGGTGATCTCCCGCATTTATGAACAATCTTTTGAAACCTGAAATGAAAGAATATTTTTTTTCTTAGATAATAACAATGATTACAGAGACGTACCTGTATATCTATTAACATCATTTTATAATTCCTAATTGTATTTTGAGCCTTTCCTGTAAGTTTGCAAAGTTATTGATATAAGAAATATATTTGAAACAATTTCAAATGACACGTTGTGTCGTGAGTAAAATCTGAACACAAATATTGTTTCAAATGTAATCACAACGGTGACTCGAAATGTCAATTGTCAGTTAATTAATTTAATATTCGTAGTTAATAGCAATAATTTATAAAAAATAATTGCGGATATTGGGCGGACATGTCTGTCGTTAACAAGACAAATGTTTCCAAACTTCAGTAAATTACGTTTTTATGTGCGAATTTAGCCTATTAGTGTAATTAAAAGAAATGCCAAGGACAAGCAACAACCTGTAACCATAGTAAGTAGCGCAAGTGCGACATTTTTGTCAACTAAATTCGGCAACCGAGGACAGTGGGTTTTGTATTATCCGACGCCCAAAACGCTCTCAATAGATTCTTGCATAGATTATGTCCATCCGTATAAATAGTGTTACGACGAAACATTGAACATCAGTCGGCTTTGACAGCTCGAAGTGATCTTCTTACAGTGAAATTAAACACAGACCACGTTCACAATGAGATCGATGGTGGTGTTCGTTGCTGCGTTGGCGCTGGCGGCTGCCGCACCCAGTGGTGAGCCTGGCCTGA